CAGCGCCGCCGGCCCCGGGCGAGGGGGTCCGCGGGCCCCCTCCGGTAGCGGGAAGAACCGCCCGGCAGAGCAGGGGACGGTCCCGCCCGCCGCTGTCTCGTCCCGCAGCGCCGCCGGGACGGCTCCGTCCCGCTTCTCCTTCGGGGCCAAGACCCCCACGAGCGGCCGCAGCCCCGGCCCGGGCTCGCCCACGGGCCGGGGGCTCCGGCCAGACCCCCACACAGCGGCGGTCGCTCCCCGCTGCTTTCCCCGCGCCGTTCTCGTTTGCGTCTCGCCTTCTGCCGGCCCCCCCCCGCACCGCAACCGGGGACCCGGCCACGGCCCCGCGCAGGTCCCGCGTGGGTCCCGGCGGGGGATGGAGCTGTTCCCTCCGCTGATGCCCGCGCAGGAGGCAGTTAGAGCAGCGGCCTACCCCCTCTCCGCCCCCACGCGTGGCTGTGGGGCTCCGCGGAGCCGCGGAGCTCCGCGCGGGCGACGGGGCAGAGGCGGCGGCTCAGCCGGGAGCTCCGCGGCCCCTCAGGGCTCCCGTGCGGTGTCGGTGCGGGGAGGCTCGGCTCCGGGACCGTGCTTCCCACCTGCACCGGGACACCGGCAGAGAAGGTGCGGGGCAAACACCCGTTTTTCCCGGGCTGCAGCACCCCACACGGCCACGGGGATGGGGCCCCCGCCTCGGCCCCGCTGCGCCGCGGCGGACGCTGCCCCGGGACCCCCGAGCAGCGGACGAGGCGGCGGCACCGGCACCGTCGGACCCGGGAGGACGATCCGCCACCCCCCTTCCACTCCTCACCCCCGCGCCCCCCCGGGCCCCCCCGGGCGGGCCTTGCGCCCGCTGTCCCCGGGTCTCTCTTCTGCGTGGCACCTTCCCGGGAGCGGGCTCCGGTCCGCTGCGTCCACGCCAATTCACGAGCCGCCCCGCGACCTGCCTTAATTAACAACGATTAATTCGACATTAACGAAAAACTCCCCGGGACGCCGCTCGCCGGGGGCCGGGAGGGCGCGGGGGGGACCCTCCCCCCGCCCGGCTCCTCCGCACGGGCCGTGCACGCCGCGCAAAATCCGCGGGGCGCGGCGGGTCCCGCGGCCGCGGGGTTGGAGGCGTGGGGCTGGGAGCCCACGGGAGCCGCGGGGTGGAAATCTCCCGTCTCCTCCCGTGAGCTCCTCCCGGTTTCACCTCGGCCAGCAGCGGCGGGGGGGGGGGGTCTGCCCGCGGAGACCCGACCCACGCGAGTCCCCCCTGGGGCCGGGGGGGGCCCCAAGGTCCCCACCCATGTCCGTCCGTCCCCCCCCCGCTGCAGGGGGAACCGGTGACCCCCGTTGGAGGTCCCTCCCCGCCTGGTTGTCGGGACCGGGCAGGGCTCCGCGGCGGCAGGCAGAAGCCCCGGGAGACAACGATCCCCGGGACGGGGATAACGCCGGTCCCCTCCGGTCCCCGCCGCCGGTCCTCGGCGTACCCCGGAGTCAGTGTCTCCCCCCGGGCGGCGTCCCGGGCCGGGGGAAGGCAAGTGCTCCGTAGGGGGAAGATGGTCCCCCGCAGCCGCGCTGGCCTCGTTGTCCCCGCCACGGGTGACCCGGCACCCCCCGGCGGCAAACGGCAGCCAGATCAGAGCCCCGGGGCGAGGCAGCCGCGGTCTCGTTTTCCGGAGAGCAGGCGCAGCCGGATCCTCGGGGCCACGCCCATCGTGGGGTTTCCCACGCGTGAGCGCGGCGGCCGCCGAGGCCCGTTCCCCCACGGCTTCGAGCTCCTTAGCGGAGGAGAGCCGGCGGCGGGGGTGTGTGTGTGTAAGGTGTGGGGGCAGGTCCACGAGAGGCGTCCCCTGGCCTCTTCCCGCGTGGACCGGGCTGCAGAAGCCCACTCAGCACCGGGCCGCGGCGCTGCGGGTCCCACTCGCGGGGCAGCCCCGGCCGGCACCGCTCCCCCCGGCAGTGGGAACCGCTTCGCTCCGCGGGACAGGGCTGAAGCACTGCCCGGTCCCTCCGGAGCCTCCCCGCGGCGGCCCCGCGGGGAGGTGCGGGGGGCGGTTTGGGACCCGTCCGCCGCGGCTCGCCGTCACCACGCGCGTGTCTCGGTCTCCCGTGGCCGCCTCGGGGACGAAGTCGCGGCGGGAGAAGGCGACGGGAGACCGGGTGGGACGCGGTGC